CACTGGTCAAATCATGCCAGCAGTAGTTTTTAACCAGCTTCGAAATCTGATCAACTTAGCAGTGAAATCAACCCTTGCAGTGCTTAATGCTGAGTAAAACTGCTTCGTGTTGATCCTGAGATCAGGAAAAAAATGCTTTATATTCCTGTTTCTTGCACTATCTGCAGGGTTTGTTTCAAAAGGCTGGTAGTGGGGAAGGTGGTTAAAAATTAGAAAACGCCAATTTCTTCTTAGGACCTGTTAAATTGGATTTATGTCCATAGGGTAAGCAGGGAACTTTAATTTTTGTAAGATAACCTGTAAAAGAAAAAATGTGGAACTGCAAAAAAATAAACCAAAAAGGAACAATGGCGTTAAATCATACGTTTTAAATGTCAGAGCGTTGTCAGTCTGCTCACTGTCTGCCTTTGCTTAAAGTAGAGCTGAGTGGATCCACCCCTCACCCCACATATGATTAGGGAATTGTGCAAGACACTATTAAATATGAGGTGTCATGCTGGAACACCTGTCAGTAAAATTCTCTAGATGAGGATTACTGAATTGGAAAGACTGGCAATGTTTTCCTATCTGTAAGAGTATGGCTTTGTAGAGAAGTGTGGGTATATATATATATATATATACTGGCAGAGAAGGAAGAAAGTGGAGAAATTGGGAATATTGTCTTTTGAAAATGGGGTTCTGAGTAGCTGCTGATTTTATTCAGTAGGTGAACTGCTTGTGCATTTAAACTTTCTCTGCAATAATCACAGGAGTGCTTAGTTTCAGAATCCTCTAACCTTTCACTCCCCACTGATCTTGAAAGTTGTACTGGTGTAAGTCCAGAACCTGAGGAAAGAGCACGTTCTGAGCTGAATGCAGAGAAAATTGACTTTAAAGAATAGGGTGCTTCAGCTTAAGCATAGGTCTCTCAGTTTACTAAACCATGTCCTCATGGTACTGAACTTATAGGAATATTTCATTGACAAACATGTGGAACTCTCTGGCTTACACACAGAGGCATGCTGAGCTGCAACACTCTGTCTAGCAGTTATTCCCCTCCAGATCATGGAATGGGTAACATAAATGTCAGTGGGAGCTTTGAGTCAGACTGGGAGAATCCAGAGAACTTGAAGACACAGGATTTGCTGGCTAATCTAGTGGGTGTGTTTATTTGCTTTAATGTGGGAGTGTGCATAAGGTATTGCTGAGCCTCCTGTTTTTCTCTAAGGGATCATTCCGTAGTTACATTGTGAAGATCTTCTTATCATTCAGACTCTACCAGGTTTTTTATTGTGGCACCACAGGATATACTTTCTTGTGGCTTATCTCCTTCTACTGTCACTTCTAGCACTTTCTCACCATTTAATGCTCCATCGTGCTGTATGGGTTTAGCTGTTTTCTAGCCTTGTGTTTCCTGAAGGCTGTTCATTTCCCTGCCAGACTCCTGCACTTGTCTTACAGTTTCTGCACATTCAGGTGTTCATTCAAAGACATTATATGAAGACAAGGCTTAAAGCCTATTTACTGGGCTCCAGCGTACAGTAATTCACTCAAGAAATACTATACTTTTCAAAATACTGCCAAGCAGAACTTACTTCTTAAAATGTGCTATTTCTTGAAAGTTTAAGACAAATGATCCTTTTATTTGCTGTATGCCATGTTCCATTTTTCTACTAATCGAAGAAACATAACCTATGGGTCAGACGCTGCTCCCTAGGCTAAAGTGCCTTTGTGCATGGAAAGGAATAGAACAGAATGAAATGGTTGTCAGTGTCAAGTCCTGCAAGGCAATCTCTCTGTCTTGCTCTGTCTTGTCTTTTCTCTGGGTTTAGAAATCCTAGCTAAAATCACTAAGTGGTTCAGTTGATTTATTTCTTGTAGGAATTATTTGTACTTTGATTATTTTTCCAGGTTTTCTTTAAAAATGCAGACTTAGAATACCAAACCACAGTGTTTAACTGCAGTCAATTTTATGGCAACCATTTTGAAAACTAGTGTCTTTACTTTTGTCCTTACCAGAAACCATGTGAAATTTATGGCAAAACTAAGTTTCAAGAAAGCTAAACAGCCCTTAACTTACCTTGTTTTAAGACCTTTTTGTGATGTCTACTGTATACCTTGGAAACTAGGACTATACTTGAAACCTCAGCTGAGACCTGAAGCTGGTTTCATGTTACTACTTAAGGCATTCTTCTGACTTGGAAGTAATATACTGTCCAAGTGGAAGTAATTAAAGCTTATGCTTTTTTTTTGTGTTAAAATGAAGGCTTGTTCCTCACACAGGAGGTGATCTTTGAGGTAGGTATTGATGGACTAAAAGGCATGGATCTCTGCAAAACTCTTCTTTTGATGTTGGACTTGGCCATTTTGGAAACAATCAGAACAAGATTTTGCACTTGCCAACTATATTTCATGATACTGCAGTTTCACTGGATACTATTGTAATATTAATTTGAAAAGGATGTCCTGGAACCTGATGTGTGAATTCCTATTGTGATAATTTAGCCTTTCCTTCACTAGTAAAAAGTAGGGATTTTTAGAGCTGTCTATACATTTGGAAATGTATTTTCTGCTTCTGCATTCTTGAGGCTAATAAATACAAACAAAATTTTTTAAAACTGAAAATATATTTACTTCTGCAATGGTAGCTCATGGTAAACCAGCATTTTCAGTATGATCACAAAGAAGCTGTGCAAGTCCTTGGCTGGTTTGATAAACAGGATGTTCTCCTGGCTTTGGGAAGGCGACATTTACGTGCTGATGAATTGTTGAGAAATGTTTTCATTGTCAATCTTAAGAATATTTGAAAGGGCTTTAAGATTCTATTTTTTAAATGTTTGTTTTTTAAAGAAGTCTAGAGACAGCAGTATTGCCAAAGAAATTTCACTGGGATTGCACAATGTACAAGTTGGATCAATACTTTGTTCCATTTGTGTTTCTGGCAATACTTCATGTGCTAAGCACAATATTTTCAATCATGTGCAACATACTTATCTATGTCTGAGGGGAATGCATTAAAAATTTGTTATCTTCAACTTGGAACAAGGTGTTCTTACTGTTGCCTTAGGCTAATGCTTTCCTAAAACAAAAAAGACCAGTAGTCAACACCACCTTTAAAACGATATAGGAATTCCGAAATAAAAAATTGTATTTGTTCCTTTTATCAATTACTTGCCTTCTGAATTCCTGCAGTTGGCAACAGGCTGCTTTCAGTTACTGTAGGAAATGTCATCTTACGGCCAACAGGAATAACCCCAGAGCCATTGGATAAAATACTGTTACAGGAGCCAGGAATTCCATATTCTGTATCTTCTGTTCTGTAGAACAGCATGCTTTATGTTCATGGCTCAGATGACATGCTTGTCTGAAGGACAGCACTCTTCAAAATGCTTGTCATATAGGCTTTCCTGGCTGGCTCTTGCCCTGAGATTTTTACTGCTAAAGAGATAGTGTACTGAAGTGGAGAAGGGATATCTAGCTACAATATAATCTTAAAGGGTTTGAATTCTAAACATCTGAATATAACACATTGTCAATACAGTTTTTCTAAGAAGTTAATTGGAAAATGTCAGTGGGTGAAACAGAAGTCAACTTATTTCAGATAGCTTTCAGTGTCAGAGTACTAAATAAGCAACTGTCAGTGTTCTGAATTAACCATAAACCAAGAACTCTAAAACTTCTGGAATAAACTTTTGAAGGTTTTTTTCTGATGCAGTTTCTAAATGTTATACATGCCAATTAATTCAGGAAGTTTTGCAATTGTGCACAGGATTGTTGCATTGCCTTCTTTGTGGTATTTGAATAGTGTGTGAAACCCAATTATCTTGCTGCACTTCGGAGCTGCCTTTATTGCCCTTCGACTGAAGAGTAGAAATGTTTCCTTTTGACACGAATTTCCCTGGCCTCGGGTCTCTGCCTGGCAGAGGCACCGAAACAAGAACCTGCTGGGCATGGTGGAGGTCAATCTAGAGAGCTATGAAACTTTTTAATAACCTGGCCTGGTGTGTGTATGCCAAACTGTTAAGCACTGAGAGCTAAATAGCACAGAAGTCTGGTGAAGACCTGACTGGTGGCCTGTGAAGCAGCACCATTACAAGGCTCTGTGCATAAAATGGAAAAAATAGTGTCAAGTTCTGTTTCTTTCATCTCTTTGCTTAAGACTAAATTAGAAATGTCCTTCCATTTTGCCTTCTCTTTTTGAAGAGGTGTGTAGGATCTGTTCTACAGCTGTGGCTCCTCACAGCTGTGCAGGTAAGACCTTGCTGAAGGTGTCCTGGACTGTCACTGTCAAATGGCAAGTCCCTTCAGCCTGGGCCTGCTAGAAGTCTTTACGAGTTAAAGTCGATGTTGAGAGTCTTTAAATGAGATAGCTAAGTATGAAGCTATTTCTACAAATATTAGATGAGGTGTTATGTTTTGTGTTTGGCTAGTTAATAAACTGAATTCCTGCCTTTCGCCCTACCTTCAGTGATAAATGATCATGATCTATATGACTCAGTGCATTTAACAATGGTGTACATATGTGGTATAAACATCTAAATGAGTTGTTAACTACTGCCTCTTGATGATGACCAAATAAAAGTAATTGTTTAGGGTGATTGTGTCATTTGTATTCATACATGTACTGTGACTAGAAAATAAGTAATTTTAAAAGTTAATATTAGAAGTATCCTGGCATTTATCAAGAAGATGAAACAAATATACTACTTTAAAGGACACTTGATTTTTAGCTTTGAAGATGTATTCACTTGCTGTTCAAACTTCAGATAAAGGCTAGTAGTTACTACCTGATACGGAGATCAGCTTAACTCTGGAATACTGACTAGTGCTGACTAGTGAAGTCTGTACTATTTTCAAAAGCTTTTGTCAGATGTGCCTGATGTGCCTAGATAGCCACCTTGAAGAACAGTGTGGACATGTTTGCATTTTACCAGTTCACTTGTGTAAGATGGAATAGTGTCACTGTAGACTCAGTGTTGTAAAAAAAAACAACTAATGATGTCTGATCTTTTCTCTTCTAGACTGTCATTTTACTCTGGCCATTCGTCATTCTCCATGTACTGCATGCTCTTCCTAGCAGTAAGTATGCGTTTTCCATCTAAAGGTCAATAAAGTCAGTTAGCTACCTAGTGCAAAAATTGAAATATTGACTCAACTGCTTTGCACAGGGAACATGGCTTTTGTAGGATACTTGTCTGGGATAGCTGAAGATTTCTCAGGAGGAGTTGTTAGAGTGGTGATATTGGGACAAGAAGTAGAAATATGTTCAGTATGCCTAAAAATACGATACCTGGCTTGTGTGTCTTGTCTAAAATGAACCTGTGACAAGTGAGTTTGGAAAAGAAGATGCTACTTTAATTTAGTTACATATAAAGTATTGTAAGCCATATAAAATCTATAAGCCATATAAAATATGTTTGACTTAATGAAATATGCAAAACCTATTTAAAACAAAAGCAAACAAACCCCCAAGACTTAAACACTGATCAAATGTGGCTGGGCCCATAAGTGCAAAACAGCAGATCAACCTGAATTTTTAAATTCCTTTTATTTCCTCCTAACTTTTAGGGGCAGAGAGGGAGAGTGAGGGAAGCAATGGAACAGATCTGTCTATGAAAGTAAATATTAATGATAAGATCAATTCAGTGATGCTTCAGTGGGAGATAATTGTTTTTCAGTTGAAATTGTTCCAAGTCAGCTAGGGCAAATTATCTTCACTCCTTGCATGAGCTTTGTAACACTGAAGGGTTGATTTGGTTGTTCTCCCCCTGCTAACTGGTAACACAGAAGGCATTAAACAACTTTGTGGAATTTTGTTGTTAATGTAGCTGTGAAGTTAAGCTCTGGTCCGGGACACAAATTGCTAACATAATACATACATTACATAATGCACCATCTCAACAGATCTCGGATTCAATTTGCTTTCTCATTTTAGTTGCATTTTTAATGTTTTCAGTGTCTCTTGGCAATAGTATCGTGTCCAGTGAGAGGACAGATTGTTCAAACTAAACAAAAAACCCTACAACCACACTTACAAAAGGGATGGCTCTTCAGTATAATGTAGGTATTTTTTAGCTTTATTTTAGGATAAAGCTATTTCAGAAGCTTGTTGTTCAGTTTTGATCTATCATTGACATTTGTTTATGGCTTAAACCTGTCTAGTTCTGCTTCCTTCTTTACTTGTCTTATCTAATGTAAATATAAAGAGCTCATAAAAGCATTAAGTCCTGGGTTTGACTGGAATATAGTGTGACTTCCAGTCAGCTACTTGGATTTTTAAAAATAAATAACAGTGTCTTTACTTGTTTATTGGCACTGTCTGTCTCCAAAATTACGTAGGTCCACTTGTAATAGGTTTTGAAAGACAAAACCACTATTTCCACAGTACAGTGGAGCAATTACAGCTATATATCCTAGTGCTGACTTGCTCCTCTGGGTTCAGTCATATCCTTTTCATCCAGCGTCTCCTTAAAATGGTTTTGTTGAGCAACCTGATAAGGTAATAACTGCCACCTCACAGAAGGACAAACTTGGAGATAAGAAAACCCTTGGTAAGTGTGTGGCAATGTGTATGGTTTATAAATTTATACTGACTGGATTACAGTCATCTGGCAAGGATCTGAAGCTGTCTGACCTTTTACCTCTGTCACATGTGTTTAAGGAGAATTCTGAGTTCTGCATGCTGCAGCCTGGGGAAATGGGTGGTCAGGAGGACTTCTCAACTCATCAGCTGAATACAAGATAATAGTACACATTAGATAATACAACTCTTTAGTTAAATACAAGATAATAGAAGGTGTGCTGAACAGATTGGACTTGAGACCTTGTTTGTTTAACATACTAGGCTTGGAAAAAATTCAGCCTTTGGCAAGAAATCCTTTATTTTGAAGTTACTACCTGCATGTGGGTTGAATAATGCTTTCTGTAGTTGCCTCTGGCATGTTTTTTTGAATCCATGCAAAGGAGTTTGTGTGGAGAGTTCTTGAAGAGGAAATTATGAACCTTAGGTACCTTGGGGCTGTGTGAGCTTCACTCTTAGCAACCTTCTGCACTGATATGTGGTGGGACAGTGCAAGTCAAATCGATCCTGGGTGTTCCATTCTGAAATGCTGTGAATCTTGACCTTTTGTCAGTCCTCACTGGCTGTGATCAGCTCCTCCCCTCATGTTCAGTCCTGTAGTAACTGCAAGACTCTTAGTAGTACCCTTTAACTGGAGGGGAGCGAATGTCTTCAGCTCTTCAAACATGACATGTTGAATGAGAAGTGTTTCACTGGAGATCAGTTTGTTACTCGGCGAACCAGTTGACGAGTAGCCAGAGCCCTGGCTGGAGGAGAAGGCATTCTTTGTCTGTTCCTGCACCCCAGTTTCTTGTCTTGTCTCTGGCTGAGCGATGGCCCAGTACAAATAAGAGGGTTTGTGGAGATTAGCATCCTAATTCCTCCTGTCTGGTAATAACATTATTCATCTAGAATGTCAGATGTAGGGGCATTCTGAAGAAGGTTAGTGGCTCCTGTACAGTATGTTATTATCTTGCTGATTAACACAACATTACTGCTTACCAAAAAAACCAAAAAGGTGCAGATATTTTTAAAAACAGAACTAGTGCAGGAAGGTGAGGAACTCACACGCTTGCCCATGTGGCAGGGCAGAGTGCTGCTGCTGCCTTTAAGCCAAACCTGCAGCACTTCACCTTGTTCGTTAACTGAACTCGGATATATGTTGGCTTCATCTGCTCCTTGCACACATTCTGCAGCCACGCACTGAGTTATCATCAGGATGGACTGTTAAGATGTGGCATTACTCAGGGGCAGTGTTAATCGTAACCAGACGCTGGCATGCTGGTTTCTGGAGAGGCTGGAGGAGTCTATCGTGTGTGTGCGTACTGCAGAAAGTGTGCTCTTATGTGTTACTTGCTGAACACGTGTACTGTGTCAGGTGAAGATACGACTTTATAGAGAACCAGTCATGGGAGAAACAGCTGAGGCGGGTGGGGTTGTTCAGCCTGGAGAAAAGGAGACTCCTTTTGTGTGTGACCTTATCGCTCTACAACTACTTGAGAAGGTTGTAGCCAGGTGGACATTGGTCTCTTTTCCCAGGTAAAAAGAAATAGGATGAGAGGAAATGGCGTAAGTTGTGCTAGGGGAGGTTTAGATTGGTTATTAGGAAAAATTTCTTCTTGGAAAGGATTGTCAAGCATTGGACCAGGCTGCCCCAAGGAGGTGGTGGAATCTTCATCCCTGGAGGTATTTAAAGGATGTGTGGATGTGACACTTGAGGACGTGGTTTAATGGTGGACCTGGAAGTGCTGGATTAACAGTTGGACTCAAAAGCTCTTAAGGGTCTTTTCCAATCTAAACAATTCTATGACATTTTTGAACTGGCAACCATTTGGATTTCTTAAAGAGTCTGAATTATGCTGGAGAGCATTCCTTTCTTCTGTTTGAGAGATTCCTGAAAGTATCTGAGTTCCGATGGCATGGCTTTACTGGCATCAGGAGAACAAACTGCAATTTTGAACATAATCCTGTGCTGCATGTCCCACATCATAGCAAGGGCAACACATGGAAACACCACTCACTGTGTCGGTCACCAAATTCTCTACCTTAACTGTTCGTTGCATGGGAATGTTAAATAGTTTATATTATCCAGATATTTAAATACACAGCAGTATATATATCACCTTGCAATTCTCACAGCATAGAGAACACTGCACCTGTAAAAAAGCTGTTGTGTCTAGCTGGACTAGATTAAAACCTGGGTTTTCAGCCTGATTCCAGATTAAAGTTATGGTGTCTTCTAGTTTTTAACTCATTGATACGCAGAATGAGCGTGAGTAAAAAAATATGCTTGCAGACTGTCAGTCTAGGAAGCTTTGGTGGAGAATGTATTTTGAGATTCATTTGGCAGAGCTAGGTGGGTTAGTTTGGGTGCAGTCAGAGCTGTTATCTCTGGGATAACAGCCTCTGCCAACAACAGCTTCATGTGGAAACTAGATGAAGTTTGACCGCAACAGTATGTGGGAACCCAGTGACCTAATAGCAGATGCTGGATCCCAAATTGTCTGTCATCTGCCCTTGCTGTTCCTTTCCTTTCATAGTTAAACAGCTGGCATGGTCTCTCCTGTATCAACAAAACCGTTTAATCTTGGCTTGGAGAATGGGAGGGCAGGTGTAGTTGAACACCTCTTCTAGCAGTGTTTAGTGTGACCAGACTAGCACCCTGCTCCCTGGAGGGGGAGACGCTGCAGCTAGTCATAAGGGGGTTTTTGACATTTTAAAAAAAAGTTTATGAAATTAAAATGCTAAATGCATGCTGCCATCAGTAGTGAGAATGATCCACTGCAATTGTCGGCAGTTGGCAGAAATGAGGATCCCTGAGGATCAGGTTGCTGTAACAGAGCCAGTAGCTGACTGGGCTGTAGCTGGGCTGGGTGCTTCGCTGCCTGCACCTATGAGGAAAGGGCTGCAGTAACCCAGCCAAGAGACCCTGCTATTCTGGGGAAGGCAGTGTGTTTGTACTGCTTAGGCTTGGGACAAAAAGGGATGATGAATCTTGCACAATGTAACTTGAGTGGCTCTCAATCTCTCCCACTGTTTGTTGGGAACATTTTGTGTGTCAAAGGACACAGGGAATTACAGATGAGAACAGGAGTGCAACTGGTGTTTCAGTTGCATTGACCGGTGTTTCAGTTGTAGGCTGGCAACCTTCTTTTGCAGAGAGATCACAGGACAAACACAAGTGAAAGGGGGCTTTAGGCTGCTTTTGTTACTCATGTACCTAAGTGCGCCAATCAAGCTTTGCTCTTAACCTCTGACTTCAATTTTTTATGTTGGGATTGGAGGTTGAGTGAAACAGTACTCAAACAAGAGCTTAGGAGCCTTTAACACCGCTGAAGATTACCTAGTGTTCTAACACTAATGAGAAGACATTTGTCACGGAACATATTTTGTTTGGCTGTAATTGTGTGTAGTACCAACCATCTTACTTGAAGCAGAAATGAAGAAATAAAGGATAATCAGTGATGCTGCAAGGCCCAAGGATGGAGACACTTGTGCTTCTACTTCTGCGGGCTCCTAA